AACATGCGCGGTGGTGTAGATATTGTCTTCAACAAATTAGGAAATGGTATATTCATGTAGCTACTTAAACTCCTTTCAGTTTCCGATGGAATTCTTTTATGTAACAGTTCCAATGTCGTTCGTTCGGTGGGTGCTGCCGTGAGGTATTGACAGCATTCGATAACACATAATTATTTAGCTTCCTTCTGGGCGCAGATCCACTTTCTTGTCCTCTAGACGAGTTACTCCTCTGGGAATCAGGCGTCTTCAGGGTGGTGGGTACTATATATCCATAACATTCTAAATTACAGGCCGTTACTTCTCCTAGTTCCATCGGCCAACCAGAGTTAAATTCGCTGTTTGATCAGTTGGAAAAGAAGATTCTGTTATCAAAAAAATTGGCAAATGGACCTGAGAAAAGCGTATTTGATCTGCTTATATGGTCCTGTATGACCCGGGTTTTTACTCAGTGTATGTCTATGTCTCATTTATATAAATTTCAGTGACATCGAAGCATGCATCATTGAAGACTTATTTTGATGAAATCAACCAAAAGCCTTTCTGCCTGAAGGCTTGGGAAAGTTCTCGTCACTTGGTACCTTCTATCCAGGTAATTTGTTATTGAGTCATTATCAAGTTGACAGAACCTTTCTCTCCTTTAAAGCCATAGCACGTACTTCTCCAATATACAGATGTTGCTAACTGTATAAAATTTGAATAATTCTAACCTTCATAATTTTTGAAATAATTTCAAGGTTTAATAAAATGATTTTGTGTTTATCTTTCTGTAGAATGCATCAGCGTCGGCCGTAAAACCCCCCAAGAAGGCTCCTCAGGTCAACAAGAAAACGAAGGAAAAACCAAATAAGGCACTATCACAGGCTGTAAAATCTGCTAGTGCCGAAATGGAAGAGCTCCAGAGTTTACAAGTGGAAGTTACCCCTGACGAGATGCTAAAGGCTGAGTGGAATTTTTCATCGAAGTCGGATGTGAAACCCCTCCTCGAGCTGCAGGGCAGACTGAAAAAGTTGAAGCAAGTCACAATCATGGGACTCATCGTCTTAATATCCTGTTATCTGTTAATATTGGTCGAGTTTTTTCTTGGAAATGGGACTTTAGGTGCCATCTTAATCTTCCACACATTTGGAACTATGGGGTAGATGAAGCTACAAACCCTGTCTTCGTCCAGGAATAATTCATTCTTCGGTTTAATAACCAAGTCTCAGGTCCAACAAGCGAAATCTTAACAAAGACTGGATCATAATTTCGATCTATAATATCTTTGGAAAGGCGTGCTCGTCTTCTGTACAACATCATTTCTGTAACTAAAAATGTCTGTCACGACAGTAGCATTGCTTTTGTAGGCCACCAGTTTGTATTTGAATTTCGTTCGAGTCGATGTACTGAGTTATCTCCTTCTTTTAATATCCACCGTTTAATTCGTTGAATTTCAGCTTGAATTTCAGTTGGTGCCGCCAACATTCACAGCAGCATGCTAGTTCTATCTTTTCACATACTTTCTCCCACGAGCGACATTTTTTCTCCTAAAAACCACAAATGACATTCCATTTTTGAATTATGAGCCATGCCTCAGGAGTTTTTTCACTGTCTGCTCTTTTTGCTCAGTTACACCTGCTGGCTCATGTTAAATGACATCACCACATGTGATTGTGTTACTTGAAAAAAGCGAGTAGTCGCCTAAAATTATGTTAACGACTTCTTTGAAATGTTCAGCTGTGCCGATGCATTTCTTAACTACTGTGTACCA